CCCTGCAGTGGTGTACTGACCCCAGCCTGTGCTGTGTGCCCTCCCCTGCAGTGGTGTACTGACCCCAGCCTGTGCCGTGTGCCCTCCCCCTTCAGTGGTGTATTGACCCCAGCCTGTGGTCTGTTCCCTCCCCTCCCTAAACTGCATGCCACGGCCACAGAGACCACGGGGGACTCCCCTCAAGATGCCCATTTCCTAGAGGAGGTGATGAGTATGGGGACCCCATGATGGAGCCAGTGTTGGACGTCTGCACCACACTGCTGGGGTCTGACTCAACACCCATGAGCCTGTGCGCGTGTGGACTCATGAACCACCTGAGCCTCATCCACCAGCGTCCTAAGTCCTCAGGGCCAGGTCTCTGGGAGGCTGACCAGGCTCCGATGGTGAAGACCCCAGAACAGGGCACCCAGTGTTTGCACTCATGTCCCTTCTGTCCTGTCCCTAGAAGACCCAGTCCACCAGTGCTGTGGCTGTGGTGACCGCTGGGTGCGGCTCGAGGCGCACTGTCACACCGCTCCGTGGACTGTGTCACTGTCAGGGTTGCAGGCCGCTGTTAGGGGCATGGAGGAAGGCCGTATAATTTGATCACCGATATTAATCACGTAGAGTATGAAGTATGAAAGCGGCGGTACACGCGTCTGACTGGCCATCGTCCTCAGCAGTGTAATTCATTCGACATGAATGTGTCGTAATTGCCGTTGCTAGGGAGGGATTCTTTTTATTCTTTTAAGAGGGGAATTGCCAGTGATTTCTAGAGCAGTCTGTTCTTTTTAAAGCTCCACTTACTGAGAAGGAAGAAGGACGGTTTGTTTTCCAGTCATAACAATCTCTCATTAGCCAGCTGAGCCTCAGGGCCCCCAGCCAGAGGGATGGGCCAGCACCTTTGTCCTGACGGCCCGCGAGCCCGCTGCCCTTCACAGCGCTGCCCCAAGCGGGATGTTGTCACACCCCAGGTGCTTCTGCCGCGGTCTATGCTGCACCCCATGCCCCCATTCAGGCTGGGACACAGGATAGGGTGAATCTTCTGCCCATCCTGGGGCCTCTCCCACCCTAGATTGGGGTGAAATTCCTCAATTTTTCTGGGGATGCTGGAAGTTGGGCTGATCCTGAGCCACAGGCTTTGGACTGACCGACCATGAAGTGATGAGGGCTGTGGACTGACCATGGGTAATGAGGGTGCTGTGAACTGACCATGGGTAATGAGGGTGCTGTGAACTGGCCATAGGGTGATGGGGGATGTGGGCTGACTGTGGGTTGATGGGGGCTGTGGACTGACCTGTGGAGTGATGGGACTATGGACTGACCACAGCTTGATAGGGGCTGTGGACTGATCTTGGGGCAATCCAGGTTGTGCACTTACCATGAGGTGATGGAGGCTGTGGATTGACAACAGGGTCATGGGATTGGTGGACTGACCTCCTAGGTGATGGGAGCTCCAGGCTGAACTCTTGGCGGGTGGGGATGCCCACACTCAAGGCCCTGGCTGTGTGAGAACCCAGACCCCTGCATTTGACTCTCAGTGGATGTCTCATGGACGCCCCCCTGAAGCCTTAACCAAAGTCAGATCCTGGGCAGGAGGCTCCATAGATTGACTCAGGCTACATCCTCCTGCTAAGCCCCCAAACACACCTCGCCGTGTGTCAAGGCCCTGACATTCGGACCCCATGCTATTCTCACATGACCTCCAGGCTGGGGACCTATGAGCCCTAGGGGGTGGGGTTCAGGTCACAGTGTCACTGACAGTTCTCTCTCTTTGCACCCTCAGTGTGACAGTGAGAGTGACGTGGATGACAAGGTAAGACCCCTTCTTCTAGGACCTCCACCCCCACCTCAGAGTTGTAGGGGCTCTCCTGGCTGTCCCTGTGTCTGGAGTGGAGCCAGGGAAGGTCCTCCCGGGTCTGCACATTGGGACAGGCCTGTGGACCTGTGGTATTGAGCCCAGGAGTGTAACCACAGAGCTGGCCCTTCCCCAGAGTGTCATGTGTCCTGGGAAGCCACTGTGGCCGGTGCTTTGGCTCCTGGGGGGGGGTTCTTGTGGGGAGTCGACCCCGTAGTCCCAGCACAGTTTACAGAGCACTGCTGCATGCCGCTGTAGGTGTGGGGACAAGTGGTGTCCGAGAACACAGGAGAGCCCCTCCGCCGGTGTCCACCGTCACCGTTCCTGAGGTGGGCAGGCCTGATGATGGCTGGGCGCCCGTCCTGACTGAGGCCTGACCTTGGGCCTCTCTGGACTCTTCATTCTGGGCCAGAGAACCTGGGCCTGAGGTGCAGAGGAGCTGAGCCCTGGGCTTTGCTGCAGGACATGTACAGGGTGGAAGGGCCTGAGGTGGCTGGGCCTATGTGTCCACTGTGTCACACGACCAGGGCAAGTGTAGGACAATGAGGGGTGCCTGCCTTCCAGAAAGCACTAAGGGCTGGAGGTAGGGGCTACGGAGCGTGGGGGGGAGAGGTGGAGCATCGTCATGGGCGGAGTGACTGCATGGGGGGAGCCTCTGTGTGGGTGGGCAGGGCTGGCAGTGATTGGTCAGGTGCTCTGTCACGTGTTACACCCTCAGTGTTCACCCCCATCCACCCCATCCATGTGGGACCCCCGCGTGCTCACCCTCAGGCACACACGCCTCATACACACCGCACGTGCTCCCTCCATGCACAATGAGGAACACCTCAGCAGGCTCATCCGAACGCACACACACCTTCTATAGGACCTCACTGCTCACCCCCTCATGATGTGGGACAGCCCACTGCTCACCCCATGCACCTCTCATGGGGCACCCTGGGCATAGCGTGCATACCACAGTGGATGACCTTGGTCATGGGACAGATCCCCAGGACAACTCCATCCTCCTACAAAGTCTCCCAGGAAGGAGGACAGGGCTGCGGCACTCGTGCATTGGCTCTTCGCAACCCCACACCGCTGGGGACGAGGTGAGGAGCCCTGTCATCATCTCTGCACAGTGGACCCCTGGATGCCCTTCAGAGCTCATCCCGCGGCAGACCACAGGCTGTGCATCGCGGGCACAAGCAGGAAGCTGCAGTCCCTGGCACTGCTGCCCGAGTCCCCAGCAGCCCAGAGCAGCCCAGGGCTTCAGAGACCTGCTCCTCACAAATTGGTTTTAAATGAAAGGTGCTAAAGCCTCACTCAGTGCGCTTTCCCCGGGTGCACTTGATCTAATTTCATTAAGGAAATGAGGACAGATGATGGTTGCTGTCCATTCCCTACTGTGGGGGTGCTGCTTGAGGCAGAGGAAGACGATGCTGCCCCCGCCCTTGGTGGCTGACCCAGTCCCCGTATGCCTGAGCACTCCAACCAACCACTGCTGGCCCCGCCCCTCACCGAGGCCCCGCCCACACCAGTTCCCGCACCACTGTTGGCCCCGCCCCTCACAGACTCCCCGCCCACACCAGTTCCCGCACCACTGCTGGCCCCGCCCCTCACAGACTCCCCGCCCACACCAGTTCCCGCACCACTGCTGGTCCAGCCCAGCCACACAGGCCCCACCCACTCACACAGAGGCCCTGTACCAGTGGTCCCCTGCCCAACCACTGCTGGCCCCGCCCCTCACCGAGGCTCCGCCCGTGCTACTGCCCACCCAACCACTGCTGGCCCCTCCCATCCACGCAGAGCCCAGTCCACACCCTCTGCATCCAACACTGGTGGTCATGCTCACCTGTGTGGACATTCATGCCAACATACTCGCTCACACATGCAGGTATGATGTACACACAGTGACACGTACATACTCACATACAGACCCTCTCACAGGTACACACACGAGAGTCCTCTGGACCGTCACTCACATGCGCACATGCGCACACACACAGGCTCTCACACACGTGTCACACTGGTGCTCACCCACACTCGTACTCACTCACATGGCTGCATACACGTGCATACCTCCTGGGCTCCTGAAACCCAAGGGCATCTCTCCAAAAGCAAATCTGTTTGTAGTTCATTTCTAATGTCAAGACACGGATCCAGTCACACGTTTAGATTGCATTTCCCAGGGTATAACTCTTTTTGGGGAGAAAATGCCCATCTTCCATGGAACACCTGGTGAACTTGATCCATAGACCTTGCGGTTAGTAGTTCAACGTGCAATGCTCTATGCTACTCGGGCACCTTAAAGCATATACTTTATGGAATTCTGGCCTGTTCTGGACAGACCAGACCACACTCGCTCCCAGCGTGTGTCCTCAGCCACCTCCAGTGCCCTATCGCCCTTCCCCTGTGAAATGAACACAGGGCAGCTTGAGTGTGGGAGACATGATGGGGCACCAGGAGGGGACTTCCTCCTGTTACTGAAGAATCGGCACAATTCCTCGAAGCCGCCAGCATGCAGTGTGTGTGGGTCATGGCCCTTCTGGGGAGGCTCGTGCTTTCTGCAGCCATGCAGCACGGTAACAGATGCACTGGTCCCTGGGGGCTGAAGACCAGACACTGACGCTGCAGGCTGGAGGCCAGAGGCCAAGGATGAGGTGGTAGAGGCTCCTTCTCCCTGGCCTCTGAGGGGCCTCTCTCCCTTGGCTCTTGGTGGGGGTAGCCATCTTTGGCCCTCATGGTCTGTGAACATGTCACTCCATCTCTGCTGTGTGTCACATCTCCTGGTGTTCATGTGGCCTGCTTACAAGAACTGTCATTAGGATTCAAGATCACCCTAGTCCAGGACCCCCTCATGGTGAGATCCTTAACCAGTGATGTCAGTAAAGACTGCTTCCTTTCCAGACCAGGTCTTAACTTACACGCTGCAGTGGACGTGTGTCTTTGTTGTTGTTTGGTGCTGTGGAGTGCGCCTCACAGTGACCCTGTGAACAACAGATGGGAACTCTGTCCTAGCCTTTGCTGTCTTCATCATCTCTTACACACCAGAGCCTTGTTGTTGCTGTTGTGTTGTTGAATTCACTACACCTCATAGTGACCCTGTGAACAGTCGCCCTGAACCTTGCCCTGTCCTGGGCAAGCCTCCGACACACTTGACTCCATCGCCACAGTCACTGAGTCGATCTGTCTCATCCAGGCCCCTATTGTGCTCAGTGTATAAGCCCCTTCATCTCTCCTCTGGACCACCTGGCAGGGGGCCCGGGGGAGTGAGTGCAGTGAAAGGGGGAAGCCCTTCAGGCAGGTCCTGCCCATTCTGTCTCCCACCCCGGCCCAGCTCAGGCTTATCTCAGATTCCCCATTTCTTCTGTGTCATGAAATCCCCGTTTCTCGATGTCTGCCATTTCTGCCCTGACTGGTTCTCGGCAAATTTGTGTTTTCTGGGGCCCAGTCTGTAGGGAGGTATACTGCTAACCCAAAGGCCACCTCTCTGGCAGTTCAAATCCACCAGCAGCTCTAAGGAGAAAGATGGGCAATCTCCTAATATCCCAGTGCCCCCAAACCCGCTGTACCATCATCTGTGGCCTCTTGAACCCCACCTTCACTCGGCCTGTTTCAGCCTCCTCTCTCTGAATCCTGGTGCTTCCTATCCTCACTAGGCTTCTGGAGTGGACAGCGCTGACCCTAAGCGCAGCCTAGTGACTGCACACACAAGCCCATCATTTATGCTTTTGGAAGGCTGGAGGGCCAGGGCGGGAGGACTGTGGACCCAGGCAGATGTGGGATTCTAGCAGTGTTCCTTCTGTGCCAGCTCCCCCACCAAGACAGTGACCCCTGACTCAGTTTTCCCTTATGCACCACATGGGTAGAAGCTGTGGATAACTAATAGTTGCAGGGACTGAGTGGGTCGGATATACCTTCATATGTCCTCACACCCTGCCCCTCCTGGCCCTGCTCCATGAAGACCCTCCAACTCACCAGGACAGATCTCTGCCTCGGGGTTGGATTAGTCGGGTCTGCCCGCGCCCCGCCTCCATCCCGCCCCACCCCCGCCCGTCCCCGCCTCTGCTGTCTGTGCGTCTGCCAGCCGCGCGCTGGTGGGCTCCCGCCTCTGCTCTGTGTGTCCCGGCGCTGGGGGATCGAGCCCCGCTGAGCTAGCACGGCTGGAGATGTGCGGCCTGAACACTGCAAGCCCGGGATTGGTGTAGTCAGGGTGCAGGGCGTGCGCTGAGAGGGTCCGGCAACCCAGACCGACCTGAGTGTGCTGGGGCGCGCAGGGCGCCCCCCGCTCTCCTCCACCCGTGTCCATGTCGTCCTGCTCCGGGCCCGATGACTGGCGATCGCCCGCAGTGGGCGGCAGACCAGGGTATCCAAGGTGCGCCTGGTGAGTGCGCCCTGCCGGGCTTCCAGTCTTGGGTACCAGGTGCCTCGGGGAGCAAGCAGGGTGCCGGAGAACCTGGGCTCTGACAGTTGCATCTCTCAGGATCTGGGTGCACGGGGACCGCGGCGGGGTGCACGGGGACTGTGGTGTCCCCCAGTGTTCCAGGGCGCACGTGGCAGGCGGGAGGGCCGGCTGGCAGGGTAAGTGCGCGGGGGGGGCCCCCTGCCCGGACTTGAAGGGGTCGGCATCGGCAGCGGTGCTGGGCATCGTGGGTGGGAGCGCCTTTGTCTACACAGGGCGCCGGGGGTGTGCGCCAGCCCGACTCGGTGTCCCGTTCCAGAGGCCCTCTCACCTGCCGAGTCGGAGTTCTTTGTCTGGGGCGGGGTGCGGCCGGCTGAGGCCGCGTGTACTGGCTCAGGCTGCCCGGAGATGGGGCTTCGCAGACAAAGCGCGGCCGTGACCTGCCTCTGACGGGTCGCCCTTGCACCTGACACCCTCCCTACGGGGCACGCCTCCTCTACACAGCCCAAGCCCACAGCCCCCACTTGAGCAATGCTGGGCCTCAAGTGCCCCCTTCACTCCCACCCACTCGGGCTCCGTGCCCGGAACGGAGACGGCGCCACGTCTCTGCAGTTGGTACGCCTGATCCCTAGAAGTTGGTGCTGCTTCCGCGGGCCCAGGGATGTCCCACTAGAGGGGGGTGTCTACTCCGGGCTCAGAGCCCCCAAAGGCACGCGTCTTGTGCCAGTGCTGGGCCTGCTAACCCCTGCGCTCCAGAGCTGGGCGCCGGGACTCGGGCTAGAGCAATGAGCTGGCCCCAGAGACAGACACCAGGACCAGGATTAGGAGCACTGAGCCGGTCAGGACTCGGGCAGGAGCACTGAGCGGCCCCGGATGCCGAGACTCTCTAAGGAAGGGGGACTCGGCCAGGCGCTGCTCCTGCAGGTGGCTGCCGGCCTTGGGGGGGCGTGGTCGCCCTGCGCTCTGGGCTGTGCAGAACTGCCTGGTGCTCGCAGGAACCTGAGCACCCACCTAGCCCTAGCCTCTCAGTCATCACTTCTCCCAGATCGCCTGCAGACTTGGGGTCCAGGAGGGCCCGGGAGGGGCTCCCCGTGCCTGGCTTCCTCAGTGTCTCAGCGCCAGCTGCAGTCTTTCCCGGACTCAGTGGCGCCGCCTGGTGGTCCCAAGAGCCCAGTGCTCCTGTCCTGCGTGGGACTTGAGTCTGAACTCACGCGTTAGGGCTGTTTGGGACCTTGGGGTGCGAGTCTCAGTTCAACTCCATCATCCCTCACTTGGGTAATCAAGGCCAGAAGTCATCCGCTCCTCTAGGGCGCAAACAGGTCCTCCAGGCGGCCCCTCTGTCCATTGCCCTCTCCATCCCTGTACTGCTGATGCTGTGATCTCACTACACCCTGGGTTTAAAGGCCAGCTGGCCAGGGTCTAGGAGCTGTGGGATCATGAGGGGAAGAATGAACAACAGGAGGGCAGTTATAGCATAGATGCAGAGGTGAGCTGGGGACAGAGCTGGAGAGGGAGTGGCCGCAGCCTCCAAGGGGGTGTGGTCTAGAGGGGATGAGTGCTGGAGCTCATTACAGAGGAACACGGTGGGGGGGGTGCTAGGGTGTGATCAAAGGGACATGGTCTAGAGGAATGGGAACTGGGGCGGATCACAGAAGGGTGTGGAACCCCAGGGAGTGCTACACAGTCCTGGGGATGCCTGATTGGCTCCTTGCTCTGACTGAGAAACTGGAGAGCCAAGGAGTCAAGGAGAAGCTGAAGGTCTGTGTTAGGGCCACAAGGAATGTCGTCGACTTTGATTCTGGTTGCTTTAGAAAGAACCCCAGGTGGTGATGAAGTCCTTGGGGAGTAACCTTGTTAACTAAAAGACCTCCACTCTGGAGGTTCAAGTCTCAGGAACTCCATGGGAGAAAGATGGAGACAGTCTCTTCCCATAGATTTACGGCCTGGGAAAGCCAATGAAGGGTCACCTGTGAGCCCATTCCAATTTGATAGCAGTGCGCCATGTGTTTTTGTTGGCTGCCATGTGCACTCACAGGCAGGAGGGGGCGCTGGCGCAGGGGCTCCCCTCTGCACCAGCTGGCTGGTGAGAGGCCTGCAGAGCCTTGGGGTGCGTGGTGGAGAGTGAGGGAGCACAGGACCAGTAGAGCTTTCATCTGTTGTACATGAGGTCAACCGGACAGCACCCCACAAGAGCAGGAGAGGGCCGTCCCACAGCAGGCCACGTCGTCGTCTTTCTCTGTAGTTCTAGTTTTGCTGAAAGGTTTCATGTCAGCTCTTTGGCCAGTTTGGTCCCCACAGTGCAGCAACATTCCCCCCTCTTACCCCGGGTTCCCTGCTTTCCAGCTTTGTCCTGGTCCCGCTCGCTCGTCTGCATGTTGGGGGGAACTTGGTGGGGATGGCGGGCCCAGGACACTGGCTGCTCTGGCCTTTTGTGTGCGCAGTTGCCCAGCCTCACCCTCTTCTCTTTCAGGCATCTGTTGGCTCAGAGAAGCTCTTCTCCCCTGAAACCAATAGAGGTATGTGCCTCCCGTGGCCTTTGTGCAAGTTGGACAGTCCACTGGGTCCTGGCGGCCAGCAGGGCAGGGGATAGCCTAGAGGGAGCCTGCCCCTCTGCCTGCTGGTTCTCCGGTCACACAGCAGCCAGTGGGCAGAGGAAGGCAGGAAGAGACAAGCAAGGGTGTGCGTGGGGTTTGGCTGTGTTCTGCCCATGGGCAGCTCTGGAGGAGGTTCCCCCCCGTGGGCAGATGACAGCTGGGGTTCTCTGCTCAGGCGCCCAGCGCCACAGCCACTGCGACAGGAGAGCCTGCAGCACCCCTTCCACCTTCCAGGAGCCCCTGTGGGGTAAGGTTAGCCAGGTCTGCTCTGTGCCACCCCCAGGAGAATGAGGATGATAAAGGATTCTCAGGGAAAGTGGGAGTGGTGACTAGACCTCCAGCAAGAGTGGAAGCACTGAGTACAAGCGGATCCTGGGCCCCCTCAGAGCACGCAGGGCTGATGGGCAGAATGGGGTTGTGTCCTGGAATGGGGCTCCAGCTGTGGTGATGGGGACTGCGTGTACACATCCCTGCTCTCTGCTCCTGCAGGTCCTGCCCTTGGGGAGAAGGTGGAGGTCAAGGCCGTGACTGTGCCCAGGGTCTCAGGCCTGGAGCGGAGCCGTGAGCTGAGCACCCAGACGCCCTTCCTGCCTTCTGTGCCCAGCCCTGCGGCTGCCCCCGCAGCCACCACTGCCGCAGCCTCTGCGTCCCCCACGGGGCCTCCACCAGGCACACGGGCCAGCCCCTTGGTGAAGAAGGAAGCTCCCGCCCTGCCCCGACTCACCCCACAGCCTCCACCGCCACCCACACCTCCCCAGCCCCGGGCCCCACTCCCTACACACGTGCCTGTCTCCCTGGGCACCTACCCGGGCACCAGCCAGGCCACGCACGGCAGCCTGCCCTGCTTCAGGTAGGGGGGCCTCTCGATGGACGGAGGGCTGGCTTGGGGAGGTGGTCGGCCCTGCAGTGACCAGCCCTGCCCCCAGCAGGAGCAGCGGTGGTGCAGCCAGCGGTCCTGGCCTCAGCCTCTCGAAGAACGTGGCCCTGTCGCCTCACGGGGCGGGCCCTGTGCTGGGCCTGCCCAGCTCCAACCTGTCTACCTCGCACTTCACGCTACGGTCACAGGCCCAGCACCAGCACCCCGCGGTGGCCATGTTCGCCACCCCCCCGACACTGCCCCCTCCCCCGGCGCTACCCAACAGCCTGGTCCTTCCAGGGCACCCAGCCGGTAGGTCCCCATGGTGTCCACCCATGACCCTGATGGCTCCCTAGCCACTGAGCTTCCTTCCCGGACAGGAGGGGAGGACGGGACAGGCCCCACAGCTGGCCCACTACCACTTTCTGTGGCCCTACCAGTCTGGCCCTTCACTAGGAACTCTCAGCCATAGCTCTCTACCCTAGTAGAGGTCCTGCCCCAACACAAAAAACACACGTGACACACCCTACAAATGCACACAGACACATAGACCCACAAGTGCACACCGACCCACAAATGCATGCATGTGTACAGAAATGCACACATCAACGTGTACAGTCAGTCGTACTTGTGAGCACACACATATACAGATGCACACTTACACTTGTGTAAGGCACATGCCTCTCCCTACAGGTACACGGCAGCACAGATGCTTACGTGCACCCAGATGCGTACACGTGCTTACATAGGCACATACTCAAGACACATGTGCATGCACGGGAATGAATAAGCATGTGCCCGCACATGCACAAAACCGTGCTCACACACGCATTTACACGTGTATGTGCACATATGCATAGAACCATGAATGTGCGCACGCATATCCCTGTGCAGGTCAACAGATGTGCATGACCTGCATCTGGAGGTTCCCCAGCCCCGCCCTGCACTGCCCTGTGCTTGGCAGCGCACCTGGTCCGCTGATGGAGCTGCACCGCAGGGCAGCAAGAATGCCCACAGCCTGGTCCCTGCTCCGGTCCCCCAAGTGTCAGTAGGAAGCCTGCCTCACACACTATGTGGTCTGAGATGGACACCCAGCCTGGCCTCCCCCTACCCACGTCTCACTGGTGTCATCAGGTGGCCCAGCCTTGAGGTCCTGTAGCTAGTACACAGGAGCAGTGCAGTCACTGCCAGCTGGGCTGGTCAGTGCACTGGGCATGTTCTCTGCACATTTCCAGTCAGTGCTGGGCTGGTCAATGCGCACAGTTCTAATCACTGTGCGCTCAGCTTGTCAGTGTTCACTGGACAGGTTCTCCACGCAGTTCTGGTCAGTGCACGCTGGGCTGATGAGTGCGTGCCAAGCTGGTCAGTGCTCCGTGCAGTTCCGTTCAGTGCACACTAGGTTGGTCAGTGCGCACCGGGCAGGTTCTCCGCGCAGTTCTGGTCAGTGCGAGCCCGGCTGACGGTCTTCTCTCTCGCCTCCAGATGCCAGCCTGTTGATCTCCCTCAGCCCACCAATCTCGTACCGCCAGCCTCCCTCGGGGATTCTGATTGGTACTTGGTCACAGGCCCCCCTGTTCCCTCCACCCCTGAGTGCGCACCTGGCGAGCCGCCGCGGCGGGGCCTGCCAAGAACGGGAGTGCCAGGTGACTACCCGCCTCGCCCCCCGGGAGCCCGCGGCGACGTGCCTCTCTGTCTCTCTCTCTTCTTCTCTCGTAGATCAGGAGCTGCTCCGACAAGAGCTGAACACGCGCTTTCTGGTCCAGAGCTCGGCGCGGCCCGGGGCCCCCCTGGGGGCGGGGGCGCC